ATATTTATTTTTAGAAGAATTTTAAGATTCTACCGAAAAGCGTGTTTACGAAAATTAGAGTTTCCAGACTGTCACCAATCCTCTGCTAAGTAAAATAATTAACGTTAGATATGATGTTTTTAGATTTTTTTTCTGTCAATAGGAAGAGGATTTTATAATGTACATGAAAAGGTTCAATTATCGATGATCTAATTGCTAATTTAGGCTAGTTTAATCAGTCTACTAATTTTCATGCACAAAACTGCGTTTAAAATACTCTGTCTCTATTATATGCCCATTACTCGTTGAAAATACTCTTTTCTTTCCCAATTTTCACATATGTGGTAGATTATGCGATTTTGAACAACTTTGTCATTTACTATAACATCGAAATCGCCTTCTGAGAGACGGTGAAGATATTTTTCTATCTCTCCGTGTGATTTACACGGGATTATCATAATTCCCCCATGAAAAATAGCTGTGTTATCAGAATTACCCCAAAGAAGAAAAATGAAAAAAATGACTATGTGTTTCACTTTTCGTAATTTCTCATTAACTAATTTAGATCGAGTCCAAATGACTGATAATTCATATGGGAGATAGAGCAGAAAATCCTCTACAAGATGAAATGTAGAAAGTCAGAAGTTCAGAATTCTAAAAACATTTTTAATTTCGACTAGCCTAGTTCCAAATCAGTACAAGTTAACTTATATTGCGAACGACGGACTACAAAAACGAGCAGATTTTCTTTTAACAAATGCCGTTTGTTATGAGAAAGATTTATTTTCTTGTATATTTATAATTTAATTTCATAAAGTTTTTGTTCTTTTTGAACTGAGTTTTCTTTTCGCTCAATTTTATTTATGGATTCATTTACCTTGAATTTATTGATATCTTCGTGCAACATTGAGCAAATAATGGCATTTTTCTGAAGATTTTCTGAGTTGCAATGCAACATTTTTCAAAACCCATGCGTAGTTTATTCTCACTGGTATAACGATTAGAATGAAATAGAATAGAGCGCGTAATCTCTCAGCGAAAAATACTAGATGAGTTTATACGACGGGAAGCACCCCATTCAAGGGTTCTGTTCATGCTCCAAGAGTTTTCTTGCCATTTTAAGTTTAAACTACACCAAATCTAATTTCTTATTCAGTTTTTCATGCTGAATCCGAAAAAGCTAGTTGTGGAAGACAAAAATTATGATTTATCCGTTAACACTTCCGTGCAACATCTTATATACGAATCTTGTAAGAATCTTATCAGAAATTTATAAAAACTTGATAAGTATTTTGCATCTTTCTTGTGCGTGCCTTCTGAGATCCGTATATAAGAATCAATGTCTGGGGTACCTGCATAATTAAAGAACGTAGCGCGTAGGAGGTAAATTAGGTTATGATGACACTTCATGTGTAACCTGCATTTTAAATTGATTGAAATTGGACCAATTTTAAATTGGATTTGACTACCTGTTTAGTCGTAAACGACAAAATACTGATTATCTACATTTCTTAATTATATTTCAGCGTTTGTTGTTTTTTCATTGTTATCTTTCTCACATTGTCTAACTGACTATTATTTAGCAACGAAAGGTCTAGATAAGATACAAGGACGTGCTACATTGACTATTCTTTGTATCTTATGCTTGCTGAATAAAATCTAACATTCTAGCTTAAATGTCGATGAAACATTTCTAGTATATAGTTGTACTTTGTCAGAAATAATTCTAAAGTCTCAACTTTAGCCATTACCTACGTACAAAAATATGAAACAATTAGAACTGAAATAAAAAAATTTTCTAGTTCTTTTGAATTTCTGTTCGCATCTAATCTGGTACAATGCGAACATCCAATGAAGGCATTTTAAGCAAAATGATCGTAGTTAGACTTCCCTAGTCTTGACTTATTTTAACCAAACGTGCAATCCCTATTAGTTGATTGACTTATTCTAATCAAACGTGCAATATTGCACGTTTGGTTAGAATAAGTCAATCAACTAATAGGGAAGTCTAACTACGATCATTTTGCTTAAAATGCCTTCATTGGATGTCCGCATTGTACCAGATTAGATGCAAGCAGAAATTCAAAAGACCCTGAAAAAGAAAAATTTTATATATTATGTATATACCTTTGGTAATCCAAAACAAGTCATTTTTATATTCACACAATGGGTACGACACAAAGCAACGAGACATGCGCTCAACCCAGAGATGATGGTGTTTACTATTTTTCTCGCTTCGACGATAAGCCCTTCCAGGAGGGCGCTTGCCGCTATGCCTATAAAGGAACATTAGTATCTAACAAGACTAGTCGTGATAAAGCCCGGTATGATGGTTCATCTATTGTTACCAAGGTGTTTAAAAGGCAATACGCAAAAGATTATGGAGCTTGGAACGCCGATATATCAGCAAGCAAAAAAGCAAATGAATATGCGACTTTGTTTACCACAAAAAAATTCATCGACAGATCTTTGTATTTTCCAATTCCATACGTGGCAAAAATGGATAAAAAAGCAGGATATTGGTATTTAGGTTTCATTGGCGGCGAACAATATATTGGATGTTCAAAATACTGTGAAAATTAAAAAGGTTCTCCACAATTATTCCAACTCATTATAACACGTCAATTGCTCACAAATGTGTTTTTTTTGTTTTATTAAAAGCAAACCGTCGAAATCAAAAATGAATCGAACAGATGAATAAATGAAATATTGTTTCTTTTTGCTCGGAGTTTAGTTTACATCGTATTGCAAATAGCTGAAGCTGTTGTGGAAGATGAAAGTGGTACGTATTTTTTAACTTCATCTAAGAATCGAAGATAAACGTTGAATGGTAACGTCTTCTTATGCAAATCAGATAGTTCTGCTCGCAGTGCTTGATACATTGAATCATTATTCGATTCACAATATTTGTACATTTTATGCAGTCTAGGTCCATCCATATCTTTACATAAAGGGTTCATTATATCTAATTTCATATCACGAAGAAAACCCTGAACATCTTCTTTTGACCATAATTCAATATAAGTTTTAATAAGATAATCAGATTTTCTTGAGGCATCTTCAGGCCGGTTTTCAGACAAGTTGTTTCTAAAAAAAGTAACAAAAAATCTGCAGTAGAAGGATAACAAGAAAAGGAGGGGTCCGCATTAGACTGGAAATCGGCCCACTTTATTTTTTGTCTAAAAATGATTCTGTGAGCAGTAGAACAGTATTATCAGTCGGTTTTAACTCATTTCACGTACGTCTGTAACTAAAATCTGAGTAATTCTTCGTCAATAGGGTGCCAATAGCTCATCCGTCAAAGATCAGCTATAGGTTACGCAAAAGGTGTTTCACTCATGTTTCTTTCGCATAGGCGGCAAAGTAAACATATCATCGGATAGCCCCTAAAATTCTCTACAGAATGTGTGGTTCTCTACACAACAGTTAATCGCAGTGCTTCGATAGCAGCAGGGCGCTTAGAATAATCCTACGTATACAATATAGCAGACAGTCCTCGCTGTTGTAGCCCTTTTGCTCCCAAACAAGAAAACATACATTTTTCTGTTATATACCATTTTGAAGCTCATGAAATTTGTTATAAAATGGCATATTTAGAAGCTCTGTATCGGCGGGGCCAGTCTCGAGAAAATAGACCAGAAGCAAAATCGACTATGGAAAAATGTGACGTTCTTTCAGTTTTGACTAGGCTTTTATCCAAACAAGAAAACATACATTTTTCTATTACATACCATTTTAAAGCTATTTCAATTCTCTACAAACTGGTCTATTCATAATATCTTCGTTAATTTGCAAAAGGTTCTTAATTTCGACATAATATGTATACCTAGAGAAAAGTGCGACCTGTACATCGTTTAAGCTAACTGTTTTCGAAAAAGCGGTAAAGCCCATTTCTCTGGAATAGCCTGTTTTAAAGCTCTTTCAATTCTCTACAAACTGATGTATTCATTCATGATGTATTATGTTTGATCACAAGGATTTCACAGAAATGAAAAAAGTTAAACATATAATGGGTCCCAAAAGATTATTCGTCCACTCTTCTTTTTCATTTTTCTCGTCGACCATAGTAGCTAGAACAGATCTGGAGAAAGATTTGTACAGCTGAAAGAATTTCAAATCTGATGAGGCATTCATAAAGATTCCATCGGAACTTCTGAAACCAAGGTCTCTGGAAAACCCATCCCTCTGAAAACCAAGTCCCCTCATTCGATCTAGAAATCCTTCGCAAGTAACTTTGTCATATAGAACAAACATTTCTGAACAAAATTAGACGTCTTCGAGCTCTCTATAACACTTTTTCATGAAACACCATTCAGTTTAGGAAACGCCCTAGGGTGGAGCTTTCTTGTTGACGAAGAATTACTCAGATTTTAGTTACAGACGTACGTAAAATGAGTTAAAACCGACTGATAATACTGTTCTACTGCTCACAGAATCATTTTTAGACAAAAAATAAAGTGGGCCGATTTCCAGTCTAATGCGGACTCCTCCTCTGTTTTCTAACAAAACCGGGCTCTAGAGCAATACCTTAGAAATTTTTTGTCTTTTGTTTTAAACTTGCTAAACTATACACTTTAAGTGTATAAGGCTGCGAGACTCAGTGCTTATGACTGTAGGCTTTTGTGAGAGTTTTCCGGAAACCCCTGATGGGCTTAATGTTTGCGTAAACGAATTTTGTAGGAATAATAAAAAAAGTTCGATATACGAAACCATACTTAATGATGTATCTGAACATAAAAAAAATTTGCTCAAACACAAAGACTTTCAGATGATTTAAAGGGTTTTCTAGAAAATCTCTGATGTTTTTACATTTAGTGAATGGCATATGTCTTGCTTATTATAGTAGTGCCATATATATATGCTTAATATGTTCTGTTGATGATCTAAAATATTAATTAATTTTAAGAATTTTAAAAAAGACTTTTAAAAGGTTTCTAATAGGATTTTTACAATTTCTCAAGACTTTCTTTATAGTGCGAGATTTTTTAGCAAATAATCACACATGATAAATACGACAGATGAACTCTTGACGTGACTAAGAGTTTTGCTTATCTTTATGCTTAAATATATCAGTAAGTATGGTTTCGTATATGGAAGTTTTTTATTATTACCACAAAATTCGGTTACGCAGACATTAAGTCAGTGGCGGGGGGGGGGGGGGGGGGGGGGGCGCCGCCGGCGGGCGGGGGGGGGGGGGGGGGGGGAGGGGGAGGGGCTCGGGCCGGGAGGGGGGCCGCGG